AATTTTGAGCAATAAATCCTTATCATATGACTATATCTACTGGTCGATTCGATCCGACTCCATTATGTATTACAATGATCATTACTCAGATAATGACGATCATCGATATAACATTTATTTTAAAATGCATTCTTTCTTTTGATAAACAATAATATTAATTAGGTCATTTTTTTTTCACATCCTTTGTTATAAATAACGGTTTAATCAATTGAAATATCTAATTCCTAACATTCTTCCTAGTAAAAAAAACCAGTTAGTCGCGGGAGAACAGTTTCTCAGCTTTTTCATCGTATTGATTTGTTATTTCCATGATGAAACGATATGTTATTATGATGACATTGCTATGTAAATGTATGACAGAACTGACTAGAGATATTGAAATAATGAATGAATGTAGTAAAATATTGAAAAGATATACCGAATTATTAAACAGATGGAAAATTCTTTACGATAAAAGCCAACTTAAAATCAATTAGTTAATTAAGAAAAAAGTAAAAACTAAGGATAGAGTGAATTGATTTTAGACGGATCAATTAATTATCCCACTTCTCATATGTTTTTTCATACTTTAAAATAATTTTCAGTATGCATGTTTTCATTACTTTTTCACTTTCATTATTTGATCCGTTTGAATTGATTTGTTTACTTCAAACTTTTGCAAATTTAAACATTCTTTTAGTGCTTTATCTTCATCAATTTTTGTCTGTAAAATTTGAAAAAAAATGGATTTGAAGAATTTTAAAAATTATAATTTTAATAAATTACCTCTTTACTGCTAGAGAGCTATTCAACTGTCATCAAGTTTTTTGTTTCTTTTGCCAATTACTGATACCTTTAAACCAATTTTTGAATTTAACCTATTATAAATTTGTAAATTAAGCTGTTGATTTCTTTTACACAAATTTTATAAAATGAATTAATTCGAAGGGAAATATTCGGATCACTTTATTTTCAACCATTTGAATAAAATGAACTAATTCGAATGGAAATATTCGGTTGTTTTTATTTTCAACAATTGATGTATTTATAAAATGATGTGTAATAGTTGCACAGTTGTTGTTGATCTTTTTGTAAAATGCACTAATATTTGATTATAATGTCTTTTGGCATAACAAAATTTCATTCATTAAAGAATGAAGCAAAAAAAAAGGAATGTAAATTTGTTTTTAATTAATTTGATACCTTTGTTCTTCTTTTTCCATTATTATGTAAAATTCAAAATAACACAACAAATAATTGCTTGGCATCAAAATGGAATAATTTGAAAATTCTTTATTCTTTTCATTCTTAATTTTAATTTATTTCAATTTAAAAATGAAATTTCCATTTTTCATTTTATGAAGTTATAGCAAATAGCAAAAAGTTCCATATGAAAGAAGCAAATGATATCATATCAATCATATTTTAACAAATTTGTAATTTATGAATCGATAGTTTAATCTAAAAGTAACATATTATATTAATTAAATTGCTGGCAAATATTGATTAAATTTAATTAGTATATTTTGTTTCGGATTTTTGTTTGTTATATAGTTAAATTATGTAATGAATATCGCATGATCAAATATCAAATTGTTCTTGATAATTGTCATTCGTGATTTCTTAATTATTCTTAGCAATTTAAGTAATTATTTATGATGATTATAACAATCACCTCTGATGATCACTAAATTATTCAAAATATTTTGCCATAATTCATTCCTTTCAAACTACGTATTAAACTATTCAAAATTCATAACAACAAATGGAAATTGAAATGAACAACAAAAATCCTTAAAAAATAAAAACAGCCAAGCAATTCTGCCTCGTAATTTCAGTGCTTCGAAAACATATTGTTTTATTATTTAGGGACTAATAAACAGTCATTATATGTTGTGTTCACTAAATAAATAAAACAAAAAAAATAAAATAAACTAATTATCACTGAAATATATGAATAACCATCAAACTGAGCAATTACTAAACTAAACAATTATTAAACTAAATAATTATTGAACTAAATAATTCTAAACCAAACTAAGTAATCTTGAAATTAAATTAAATCATTATCTCACCGCATCATGACCCGTATCACGTCACGTAACACATGAATATGACGTAGAAGGTTTAGCAAAATAATAAAAAACCACAATAATTCCTAGCACTAAAAAGATCACTTAAGGAAATAGAGACTAATAGAATCAAACGTTGGATTATTCATACCATTTTCTCCTAACAGTTTCCATTTTTCATGAACTTGGAAATTTCAAAAGTTCAAAGGTTTTCAATTTCAATTTTATGATAGAGTAAATATTAATACTCTCTACCTGAAGATGTCAACTTCCCTCTTTCCCTCCTTTCATAATCCAACGTCTTAAATTAGTCGATCATATTTAGCTGTCCTATCGCTTCAAGCTTGGGAAGGTTTTGCATGCAACGCTGTGAATGTTATGCAACTGCAACAGACGAAACATTGCAATGCAAGCGGGAAATGCATTATTTAAACTAACAAAGTTTCTTTGAAACAAGCGAGACGAATGATTTATGTCCATTTTGGCAGTATCATTGCATGTTACAAATTAGTAGTTTAATTTATGCCTGCATAATTGACTATGCATGCGATAATTACGATGTCCATGCACGATTAAGTCCGCAACGCGTGCAGTAACTGTAACGCATGCAAAGGCATCTAACAGCACGCAATGCATAATGGCCATAGTGCATACTGTTGCAGGATGCGTGCACTTGTAACTGTAATGCATGATTATAGATTTCTATGTAGACTATGATGCATAAGAATTACTTTATTCTATGCACAGTGATTGTTTCAGTTTAGGTTAAGTTACCGTTTATGTTCATCAAATTTTTCGTGTACGTGTGGGAAATAATGATTTACAAGCTTTACATCAGTGCCGTGCACTTGCACTCATTTAATATACACATATGCTTGTATAGATGCCTTAAGATACTTTCGCTTAGGGATATACACATATATACGAAGCATTCACTATGCACTACAAGTAGAACTATGCACGTGAATATGCCTGCGTCATTTTTGTGATATTCCGTATAATTAGCTTCAAATGTGGTCATTTTAGCAAAACAATAATGGATAAATTCGTGAAGAAAATCCCGAAATATTTGGGACAAAGTGTTGGACCTAATTCTACTTCTGTAAGTTCGCTAACTTTTTATTCCTATTTTTCCTTCCTTCAGAAAATGTGTGATATAAAAGTTACACTGGTGTTCTTAAATATTAATATTATATCATTAATGTTGGATATAGCTTTGACGTGAAAATGATGAACTGATTCATGTACATCCTTAACATTAGGAATTTATACTTCAACTTCAAAGAGAAATGTATAAAGATCTGAAGCAGCAAAAGAATAGTATAGATCAAAAGCTGAGTGCACACATGACGGTCAAATTTGATCATATATGATGCTTAGAATTGCATATTACAAAATAAAGAACGACTTAAATGCAATACTGTAGTTCACTAATACGGAGCTCAAGGTTATGTTTAAATTTTTCTTTTTTTTACAATAAGAAAAGTGATGACTAGCTTATGTCCACCAGATAGTCATGAATTATTTTAAGTGAATTCTTTAATGGCTTTACGTATCCAAAAAAATTAGTCGTATATTTTGAAGATTTTTAGGCAAACAACGTTCACATGGAAGTTTCTACTCGGGATGATAAAATTTCAAAAGAAAATTCAGCTGAAGCAGAATATAACTCATTTGACTCCAAACTAGAAGTAATAATTATATGTGAAATTTGATAAACTTACCTTCAAAACAATTTGGAAGAGACAAGAATTCTGCATGACCACTCCGAATGTTATTCAATCACCAATTTTATTTATTCTAGATTATTTTCCTTATTTTTTTACATTGTTTTATTTTCCCTTTTACAGACCGAATTGCAATGCATAGAATTTGCATCACCTTTACTTTCTGAAGATTATCGTTTGGTCGAAATCACTCCAGCATTAGTCGACCGAATAATAAGCGGTGAACAGTAAGCGATTTGGATTTCTTCGCGAAATTAGAAGAGAATTTATTTCTAAATTCTGTCCTTAGCATAAGAAAGCAATAAAGTAGTGAAATTTAGTTTGGAAAAAATGAGATATATTTAAATATCTAGGTTCTAAACATCTAAGTTATTTCCGGCTTGTTATTCGTGGTGATCAAGAAGACAGTTCTGTTTTATGTACTCATGATGCCACATATGATATAAAGGAAGTGGTAACATCAAATGTACTATTACTTTTGCCAGAATTTCATTTTGACGATGAAGCGGATGCTAATAAAAGCAATAAAACGGTTCAAAGGGTGCCGTTCTTACTTTCGTTTTATTGAATCATTATTGCTAAGATTATTATCTAGGCAAAATTTTTATGCTCATTTTATCTGGATAACAGATATATATGCTAAGTTACTCAAAACCTGAAGTGGAAAGTAAATCTGCATAAGTTACTTAGAAATGCAGTTATTCTTGAAATTGAAAAGCAACTCTTGGTGTGATAAATTACTTTGAATTGTTTAAATGGTGGAACATTCTAAATTAAATGAACTTGTTTCTGCTTAAAATACTATTCTATAGGTTATTGGGATGAAAAATAATTTTATGGAACTACGAAAAATGACCTATGTACCGGTTCAACGGTTAAAAGAAAAGCTACATGAGAGTGAATTGGAATGGGATGAAGAACTTAATAAAAACAATAAATTGTAAGTACTATATTGTAGTAGTTCAAGTTATGTTCATTCAACATAAATGGTCACTTCAAGGGTCTCAGTTCATACTTTTGAAAGGATCGTGTTGAGGTCCTGAGAAGATGTATTGGCTGATTTTAACATTTAAATGATAATTTTTTTATTCTTTATCGATTTTAATTACAAGCGGTAAAAATTCACCATGTCAGTGCTAATTTTTATTTGGTGTTTGAAAAGTTCGAGAGCTCACAGACAATTTTCAGTTATACCGTTGAAGATTTACTAGACATTGTTCAAATGAGTGAAGCAGAACTTCAGAAAGCTCTCGAACGCATGCCTGTGATAACTTTAAACGGTCTGTTCATCGAATGATTTTTGTTATGTTGAAGTTCGATCATTGAGGAATTATTGTGAAAAATAATATAATGGGAGGCATCTTATTTTTCGGGCAGTATTCATAACATCCTGTCAATTTTTGTAGGATATGTGCGCATATTATCAGCAGAATTCCATGATCGCCTTGTAACTGTGCTCGTGGATTGTTTAGATGATGATGAAGAACCAGGCATCATTCTCGAATCTGTTGGCCTGGAATGTTTGAAGAAAGCTTTGAAAAAGCATCTGCCGGATAAAAATGTTCCTGTTGAAGTGGTTAATTGGTTGATTAAAACATATTGCGATGTTGTCAAAGGTTTCAGACTTTTACAGATTTTATTAGTAACCATTTAGTTATTAGATCATCTAAATTTTCATCATTTCGCTATAGTATGTATTCTAGGCAAATATGATTTGAATAATCGTGCATCAGCTTTCTGACACAAGCCAACTCCATTCGATAGCTAATTTACTTGCAGTTAAAATGTGAAATATCTTCTGTCAACATGCTTAAATATAAAAGAGGCAAAAAAATGCTGACATTACTTTGATTTCGCATTTAGAAAATAGTAGAGAGACGTATCATATCAACGAAAAAGCGATTTGTCGAGTAAAGATTTCACAACTTCTTCGTGCAGCTGTAAAATTCGAATACGAAACTTTCGAAAGAACTCTGCAACAAATTTTGCCAATCGGTGTTGAATTCAAAGTAACCTTATATCTGCATTCTTTTCTCATTTTTGACAAATTACGATTATCAAACTTTAGCCGACATTCTCCATAGATTTTTAAGTCAACATTAGATGGAAATTTGCTAAAGGTTTGCTGCTAAAGTATCATGGAACAATAATGAAGTAATAAAATTGAGTTTGTTAGATCAGGTTCGATATTTTTGAAGTCATCGAATGAAAAGGTCAAATAATCTCCATTTGAAATCAGCTGTATAGTTTATTTGAATTTCAGGAAGAATATCTAGAAGGGCTTGCATTTGTTGATGAAGAACTGGTAACCGGAAAAACAATTCGCTATTTGAACGTTGAAGATTTGCCGGAAGAGCCTATTAAGAGGTTAGCATATTTAGTTCGTAGCAACTTGTGGAAGAAATTCAGGATAGTTTTCAAATGCCATGTACAACAATATGAATTGAGGACACACTCATTTGCTTAAATTATACTGCGCTGTCACGTTCACGATTTCACTATATAGGGAGAAAGAGATCGGTTATTAATTCTGGAATAATTCAGTCTAGGATTTTTTCATGCAATTTGAAATTAGCTAAACTTTTGGCATTGAGTTCAACTATTATGTTACAAATTCTCCCATGTTATGCACTCGCAAAGAAATTCACGTTTTATCATTTTTTAATTGAAATTAATTTTTGTAGGCTGGAATTACTATTTTCTCTCCGACAATCTTGGGAAGAATCGGCTCTGCAGCAATATCTCAGCGATCTTTGCCCCACAAAACGACATTTAAACGAACTTTTAATGAACTGTTGCCGACAGACAACCACCGTAAATGGCAAAAAATTGCTGGTTGGTTTAAAAGAGGTATTGTTATAATTTTGAAGTATGCAGTAAAAATATTTGAAAATCCCTCTCCTTTGTTTGTTAACTTCCTGAACATGTATACTATCTCGTAGTTTTGAAGTAAAATGATGACCAAAATTATGCGACGCTCCTTTTACAGTTTACTCCAATTTTAATTCTTCTAATCGAAATCATTTTCTATACAAATTAAATTTATGGTTATCAAAGATAAGTCTCTGTCTCAATCACCGTGAAGTAGTGCAGTGTTTGATTTTTTAATTTCTTAGCTAGACTACATTACAAATTAGAATCGTTTTAGATTTAATACGCTATTTTCTAAATACTGCGAAAGACCCATAAATTTAAAATCTTCTTTCTTATCTTTTGTATAGGATGATGTAACTAATATAAAACTTTTTCTTTCAAAATTCTTTCATTTTTACATATTCCTATTTCTCATACAGTTTTTTTAAAAAAAATTTCGTAACTCAAACTAGTTCATCGCATTGGGAAAAATTACTCCAACATTTTTGCCCGGTATATTTCTATTTTAAGTGTCTGGTCGTAAATAACCTGCGAGAAGTTAGGAAAAAATCTTTAAAATTAATTAACCTGAACTGTTTGCAAATACGTTCTTTAATTACTACAGCATAATTATTTTTTAAAAATCAATAAGCAACAGCATTTTTGTTTGCTGCTATGTTTTACTAATTAATTAATTATTCGTAACTTTCGCTAATCATGGGAAAAAAGCAATTTATTATTAGAAAGAAAAATATTTCACATTAAACAATACAACTAAATCTTTGCAATTTCTTTATTTTGTATTGCTCTGATTAACGTGTTCATTAGCATTATCTTCTATTGCATCGTTGTTTCTTTTCTGGACTCTTAATTATTTCACTTATAATTATCAAATTAAAGCATAAAAATTAGGGCGCATTATCATGCTGTTATTAGTTGAAAAATGTTTTTCTGATCAACTGTATTAGAATTTTTTCCCCCATGAAAGACTGAAGGGGATTTTCGAATCTCAAAATTTCCAAATATTCAATTATTTTGCAAGATTTTTTTCCGCTTTTTATCTGAAATATGCATGTATATGATATAGTATTCATGTATATGGCATATATATGATAGACGTACTCGACTTGTTCACTTGATTTTTGTTCTAATGCTTTGGATTCTGGTGAGCCAATGTTTGTATCACTAGAATTGAATCATATTTTAGAATCAGTTGAAAAGTGCAAGTAACAAATTTTTTGATAAAAATTTTTTTAATTTTCCAAATATAATAGGTTAGAATAAAATAGTGCAAAAGAAAAAGCCTTCGATGGTGACTTTTAGGTATGCCAGGCGTTCAGTCGTATATTTCAATGTCATCAAAAGTATCGTTCAAAATTATGACTAAAAATCAACTTTACTTTAAATTTATGAAATTTTGGAGTTATTTTATGTATTTGAAGTTAAAGGAAAATAAAATAATGAGGTAATGTTTAGATGAAATTAATTTTCGAATGAAATAAATTTATTACTCAATATATTTTTTTTTGCCAACTTTTCGCATTCCATAAGCAGATGTATGTGGTATGGTTGAATTCTCCTGACTTAGCTCACTTTCTTCGAATGAATGTTTCCAAAATGAATCATCTTTAACTAAACAATGCATTTAATTGAGTTAAATTTCGGATATTTACTTAAATTAATGAAAATTTCAAGTCGGAACTGTGCACCGCTCCAAGATTAATTAAAAAGAAAAATTAATTAAAAAGATCATCATTCCTTCTCAATGAATTAGTCGCAGGGATGTTGCAATTATGGTATTATTAATTTGTTTCGTTCAAAAAATGGTGGCAAGTGTATATAAATTATATGATGATAATAATAATGATCATTTTTTGGTCGTAATTGCTAATCTTATCATAACGAGACATAAAATGCTTATCATTTCTGATGGAATTGTGTTATGCTTGGATAGGCTGCAAATTTTGGTCAGTTTACTTTTCAATTTTTCAAATTCTTTTTTGACGCAAGTGATAGTTTTCAGCTACACAACTATTCATCGGGAGAATTCCATTCTTCTTCTCCGTCATTTCGAGATTTTTGATTTAAAATGGTTAATTAGATGCAACTTTTGCTATTAAAAATATAATTTCCAGAGTGAAATTACATCTTCCTACATTGACATTTATTTATTTTTCGCTACTCCACAGAAATTCAAATTTTTATTAATAATAAAACGGAATAATTCAATAGCACTTATTGTCTTTGAATGTAATTCGATGCGAGAATCAATAAATTGGTATTAGAAAAAATGGGTGTTTTAATAGTTTTCACTTTTTTTCTCCAAATTGAACTATTTTAAAATTGGAAGTAAAAGCACCTTTTTTAGCAGTAGGATGAATATTCTTGTTTTCTTTGGATGAGTCAGAAGAAACTGTTCGATGCTGCTCATAATCGGTTGAATAATCGGTTGAATTATGATTCCTATAATTATGATTTTTTGAAATTAAATTAAAAATTTAACCATTTTAATAAATGATGACAGTAATGATCTGATTACTTTATTGGTCTTTTATAATTTTTATGCTTATTCGAATTTTGCTTGTTTTCATCAGCTTTTATAACTGTCACTTTTTCAAGCGGTAGAGATCGTTCCCTCTGAAATAGGCGAGTATTTTAAATGCAATAATTTAAACTTTTTAGCTTTTTATCAACAATTTTATCCAAATTGTTCGGTTACGAAATGTCTTCTGAATTTAGACACTGAGGCTAATCCGGTAAGTCTTGATAAAGCCATGAAAATGATAAAATTTTAAACTTAGCATTCTATTTAAAATGAACCAAATTAATGCTCAGCAAAAGTCAATTGGAAGAGAAGGAAAGTGAGCTAATGTTTTTCTTACTTATTAACGTAAGAAATTCAAAGATGAGATCGTGTCAAAAAAATTTTATAATTTAGATCTATTGATTATCATTTGCTTCAAACTGCTTCATTACAAATCATTATTTTTAGAATACTTTTAATGTGGTACTATCGTAAAACAAGCTTAAACTATTCGATGATAATATTATTAGGTAAATGTTATTTATTTTCGCAACATTTATTTTTTAAACTCTGCGAAATTTTATTTACTTCCTTGCGACTTTCAAGAAAATATTACTTTAAATTAAGTGGATTTCAATTCTTAGAATGATCAACTTCCAAAATGTACAACAATGTAATATACCATCCGTTTAGTCCGATCAATTTCATTCTTGATCGTAAACTGGCAAAGCGCAAGTGCAATGCGCAAAATGAGAATGATCAGAGTTATATAGGCAAGTATCATTAGCACTAAAGCTTCCGCATCGAAATTTTCCGCCATTAGTGACCTTAATTCAAGCAATTATCTTACAAAGATGGGTGAATTGTTAATTGATGAATGGATTATTTTGCTAGTAAACGAGTAAATGAATTCATAAATCAAAACTCAAAAGGAAAGAATAAGGATAATTTGAAGATGGTATAAAATGTAATAATAGGATAAAAGTTTGAGTACTTTGATTGGATGATTTAAATAACTTTGATTGCGATATAAAACAAGAAGAATAAAATCAATGATAGTTGTGTACATTTAAATAAAACAATGTCATAATAGGAGGAATTTTCTTGCAAAATTTAAATCATCTGTGGTTTAAGAAGATAAGTAATGTATATTTGAAATTTATAACAAATGATTAATGCGAGAATTTTGTGGCAGATCGTTAACAATGTCTCAACTGAGAACGAAAAATTTGACTTATGCAATTTTGTCCTATCTTTTAACTTTTTAAAATCGTAACTCTTAGAGTTAATAATCAAAGTTCTTAACTTTAAGTAAGTTAAATTCTATCACTTTTATACTTTTAAAGCGAAATTTCTACTTCAAATTCTTGAGATGAATTTGCATTCTGCTACAAATTTATAGGTTTCAGCGAAAAAAGTTCGAGAAAGCGAGAAGTAAGTATTCTATCTTTGCAACAAACTCTGACAAAAAGCGCACAATTCAATCGTCGAACTTACTGAAATGTTTATTGAAAAATGCCGAAAATTTCACTTTCTTCAACTTTTTATTTCTATTTAATGATGTATTGAAACAAATTTTTGCATAATAATTGAAGTTATTCTCTCGTAAAAAAATCCACCATTTCTATGAGAACAAAAAATATATGCATATTATTTTAGTTTAAATTTTGTTATTGCCTTTATTTCTTTCCAATCATTTCAATTTATGAAATATAATTTTGAAGAAGAGAGAATTTAGTCGGAAAGATTCGATCAAAACAACTTTACATTATATTTATTTAACAATTCTTCCCACTTAATAAATATTCTCAAAAAAAATCTTAAAATTTCATAAAATATATCAATTAAAATTATTAAAAAATACATAATTTACTATATGAAGAAGGCAAATTGTAGTGATTTGCATTTGCAATTTAATTTGACTTTTATGAAATGAAATCCTGATATGATAACATGATAACATTTCCAACAGCACAAACTTCCGTTTGATATAAATTAACAAACCAATATTTCCATTATAAATTCAATGTATTAATATTCAAATTGTAATGAGTTGTTAAATTATAGAATATTAATACATATTCTATAATTTAACAACTCATTACAATTTGATAGGTAAACAAACGTTAGTAGTTAGCAGAAATGGAAAAGTGAAAGCAAAAAACGGTCCTTCTTGTGAACAATTCATATAGTAATAAAATATTAATAACAACCTTGTCTTTCTTTTTTTGTAAAGTAATATTTCAAAATTAATTAAACAGACAAAATAATTTGCATATGTAATTTGATGAAAACAAAATGATTTCAATTATAAATATCAAAAGTAAATAATGTTTGAAATTAATAGTTAAAATTTGTTAAGTTATTCAATTAATTACATTTTCCAATAAAACAAAAATAAATTTTAGGAAGATTTTAATGAAAATTAAATAATCATTTTAAATGTGTGATATCATTTATAACAGTAAATGGAAACAATTTAGAATGAAACGAATAGAAGAAATGATCAAATACTTCAATCAGATATTGTTTATCAAATATTTCAAATTTTTGATATAATTATCAGAGTAGTGGCAAGAATGAAAAGAATAAAATAAGGGCTAACTGATAAACATTTTGGAATTTAATAAACAAAATAGAAACAATAATTTTATATTGAAAATGAACTGAGCTGAACTTCCAATTAATCAAATATTCACAACAAATTTATCGCAATTATTTAACAATTAGCATTAGAAGCCATTTTTTCTTTTTGATGAAATTTCAAAAAGAATTAAACAAAATGTAAGTATTAATTCTACTGACATACAAGCAATAACATATGGCACCAAAAGATATGTCATTTTCAAAATTTCTAATATTTCTTATATCAATATTCATTAATTTTAAAATTATGACAATTATAGTAGTTACAACACTTTTTTTGCAGCAGCCTTTCACTTTATCAAAAATAAAATATCAGTAAAGCAGCTTAATGATAAACGAATAATCATTGATCGATTGTTTCAGTGATATCAATTCCTGCAAAGATAATTAAAATATAAATAGGCCTTTTGAACATTTTATATTTGCAAATTTAATAGTTATTAATTAATAATTATTAGCATTTAATTCCTTATTTATTCATTATTGAATAATATCAGATATATAATTTACTTTCTTAATACATTTTTCCAGAAGTATTATGGTGCTAATTTCTGGAGAATAATAATTTACATAAATGATAACAGTTAAAAAAAAGTTAAACAATTTGAAATGGTGCCATTATCAGCCTAGTTTGTGCTTGATAATATCTAATCATTACACTATCAGTGAAATATATATATTCTAATAAAAAAGTCACTCATAGGCCATAGTCGAAAAAAGTAAGGCATACCTTTGACTGCCAAAAATGGTGCCATAAATTGTCCGAGATAGTGTGTCAAGATTGATGATAAACGGGTTTAATGATTTTAATGGATTTGAGGTTATTGATTGGATATCTAAGAAATGAAATCAAATTGCACTTTGTTATATTTATTTTCTCACTGTTTTTTTTTTGTTTTTTCCTCTCTCTCTCTCTATCTCTCTATATCTTTCTCTCTTGAACGATCATTAAATTTAGAATAAATATTAAGTTCAAATTTTGAACGCATTGTATTCATAATTTATTTTCTTCATTTATAAAATATTCTCTTAACAAAAAATGATAAAATATCCAAAAAGTTCCTTCCTTCCTGTTTCACCCCTTCTAAACTAATATAATTACAAAAATAAAATTAAAATTCTAAACCTGAATGTTGTGGTTGCAAAGATTTTCGTTGCCATTGTTGATGTTGTTGTTGTTGTTGTAGATGTTGTTGTTGTTGTTGTTGTTGTTGTTGTAGATGTTGTTGTTGTAGATGTTGTTGTTGTTGTTGTTGTTGTAGATGTTGTTGTTGATGATTTTGTTGTTGCTGCACAGGATACACTAACTGTGGAAGATTTTTGGCGATAAATGGCTTCGATGTGTTGGCCGAATAATGTGGAATACTTTTTTGTTGATGTTGTGCAGGTGATACCTGTTATTGTAATTTATTCTAAAATCGAATGGAAAAAATTTCAAATTGTGGTAAATAATATATTGATTGTTTTGTCTTTTTTTATTTTCAATTTTCTCATGCGATTCCATTACTACCGCACTACCAATAAACATAATTTTTAATATCCGAAATTCTAATTTTTCAAAATTTATAATTTTTTATAATTTGCTGCAAAATTTACTGTGATGGCATGCGAAAAGTAGAATGGATATGCAATTGTAAGATATTTTGGTATCAGTCGTTATCAAATAAATTTTTCACCTTCTATTTATTGGGCTATCTCCGAAGAATACTATCGATGGAAATTAATTAATTATTCAAAATATCGAATTACTTACATGCAAATAAGAATTCAGCTCTCGTAATCCACTTGTTGCGCCATTCTTATTGTAAATATTAAGTGCATGTGCTCGCTGTTGATAAAATTACTTTAAAAAAGGAGAAGAAATTCATAATTACAAATTTCGTTAAGTCCTATTATTTTATTCGAAACTTATCAAACTTAAATTAATTGAACATTTAATGTACACAAGAAAGTGAATTTACATTTGTATTAGTTGAAAATTTTAAAGCCTAAATTTAGATGAAATTTATGAAGCAATTAACATACCGATGGATATGATTGATAATTTGGTGATATTGTTACTTTCGCCTGAATAAAAATTCCAAATTCACTACAGGGATCATTATGAATAAATAAGCTAATATTAAAAATCAAAATGCAAAATCTTTTAAAACGAATACGAAGAAAAATAAACTGTGAAAATAATCAAACTTCAAGAATTACCAAGCATTATTAATCAATACCCTGAGAGAGTTGAAATTTTGACCTTTCTTAAAATACTGATTCATTTTAAGCATTGTGCTACAGTGATGAAATATTTGAAGGGATCAAGCTTAGAAAATTGACTTTTTCGATATCTAACTGCACAGTAATTGCACATGGCATATTAACTAACCTGTGATAAGTAATTTACAGCAGTTCGAGCCTAAAATTAAAGATAAAGGATAAATTTTGAAATCAATTTATCATGTTTTTTTCCTTCTGTTTTTCTTCATTAAAAAAGATAATCAAATAATTGATTGTCTTTGTTTCACTTCTATATTCATATTTTCATTTTCATGTTTGAAATTAATTAAATTGATGTTTAAACCACAAACATGCTCATTTTCCCAGAAATGATCATATTCCTCCACTTCTCGAAGATACGCTTTATCTTCAGCATCACGTGCTGGATTCGGTTGTTGTCGCTGTTGAAATTGATACTGGAGAGGTTGTTGTTGTTGTTGCTGATATTGAAGTTGATAATGTGAAGGCTGTTGTTGAGTTTGATATTGAAGAGGTTGTTGTTGAAATTGGTATTGGGAGGGTTGTTGGCCATTTTGATATTGGGGAGATGATTGTTGAAGCTGATCATTCAAATTGTAAAATTGTTTTATCGGTGTTGTCACAACACTCGGTACCGCGCGTTGTGCATATGTATTTGTACCATTCTAGAATAACACATAAAAAATTGATCGATAAGAATAAGGAAGAATATGAATGCACTCATTAAAAACTGACCATGAAAATCGATTGTTGATATTGTTGGTATTGTTGTTGTTGTTGCTGCTGCTGTTGTTGCTGTTGTTGCTGCTGTTGTTGTTGTTGCTTCTGTTGTTGTTGTTGTTGTTGCTGTTGTTGCTGTTGTTGTTGTTTTTGTTGCTGCTAATGATGAACTATCAGCAAACGGATAAATGAACGATTATCTGTTATATTTCTTTGTAACCGTTATTCTTTAACCTCCCCTTATAGTGTGGTGATAAGGTTAAGATTTATCAATATGTAAAGTAAAATATACCTTCTCATCAAGTTGTACTGGAAATGAACTGTTAATAGGTAATTTTTGAGTTAACTTGGTTGATTCCGCTGCAGTGTCATGCTGTTGTGACACAATTTCTTTTTCTGACAAATAATTGGCATATGGTACTGTTGATTTAGATTTAGACTTTGTGGTAGACAATGTTACAACTTCATTATGCTTAATTTCTCCATCACGAACAACAAAATAAAGGTTAGGTTGAATTGTTGTCCGATCTAAGCTTTCAATTTCATGTGTTTGCCACATTGGCAATTGAATAATAGTTCTGTTTTCGGAAGTTTTCTTCGCTACTCGTACTGGCATTACTTGTGTTGGTGATTGATCTGATCGCGGAAAAAGCTTATGAGGTTTTTCTCCTTCAGCTTTAGATACTGCAACCAAAATTTGCATCATCCATACTTTAGGTTAAATTATTTCAAAGATGATTAATTTTCTCATATTACCATATTTATAATATATGCCACATAAACGATAATTCTTTTTATTCTGTTGAATACTTTTTTGATTTTTAAGAAATTGTCATTTTCGAGTTGCTTAATAATCTTATTATTTTTTAAAGGATAGGAATAAGAAAATAAGATTAATGGGAAAAGAGAAAAGTGTACTTCCAAACTTGAAATTTTTCGTTGCAAATTCATCATTTTCATCGGAAACTAAAACTTGCAATCGAGTAAACGTTGATGATTTCATATTCGATTTTACTGCTTCTAAACAGTATAATATTTTAAAAGCATTAAATGGTTCCATTACAGACAGATAAATAATTGAACTACGAATGGAATAAATAATATCTTTAGCAATGAAGTGAAAATGAGAAGAGTTGAAATAAAATTAATATTCATGTTAAATTGGTGTCAATTTACTAAAAAGTAATTATATTAAAAATTAAAGTGAAAGTATAAATTTACTTAACATTATAACATACCTGTGGTAGTAATTATTGCTGCAGCATTTTCAATTGTCGATTTTGATAAAATGATTGTCTTAAAAATTAACAAGTAAATAATTAAACAGAAATTTGTCGATAATTTTAAAATTGTCGGTAATATTTTTGGAAAAAAGGCCTTAACTTATTATTATACCTTATCATTATTGATAGGTTCAGCTGATAACATCCTTACATTGTTTTTGCTATGTGGCGTATGTTTACGCAAGAAATTAGCCATAATCATACTTTCTTCATAATTACTCATACGTTTCTCATCCTGAAATTATATATTTTAATTAAAATTTCAAAATGAAAGACAAAAAAAAGAAACGAAGAGTGCTTTAAATAGATTATGATAAAATGTGATATGCAATTTGCACAGACATATTAAATGTTAATATATTTGTACTCTCTTACTTTATTGAGGCTTATTGTAGGGTTTGCAACATAAGAAAGTGTCAACAATGCAAGTATTGCAGATTTCTTTTTTTTTTGTATTACTATATAAAATAAGGTTAAGTGCATGATAAGAATGATAAGCAATTCTATTGCTGCATATGTGTTATCATTCATTAATACATCTATTATTGATTACATTATAAAAGTGATAAAAATCGCTACCACTGCATACGTATTATCATTCATTAGTTTATCTATTATTCGAAAACTGTTATAATTCATATGCACATATTAAAATCTGTCAGTATAATAATACAAAGCGTTGACTTACACAAAAAATATAAATTAGTGATTGATAACGGTTATCAATGTAACATTTATCATTTGCGACAGATAAATATTAGCAAAGTTAGTAAGCGTATACGACATAATATTACTTTGCATTCGTACATGCATATGCCAAACTTTATGATAATTATTGAAATGAAAGAAATGAAAAATGATAACTTACATGACGGAAATCATAATCATCATAAAGAATTGGACTATCAGCAGCACGTATATTTGCCATTCGTATATCACGTATACTTTCATCATTTTGTTCTAATCGATTTTGATTATAAATCTATAAAAATGAAAAAGTATGATAGCATGAATTTGTGTATTCCTAAAAAGAATTTAATTTAATGGTACCGTATTTGTTTCAGTTTGTTTAGCATTGGTAGTTTTTTTCGTGGTATTCCTGAGCAAGCTACCATCCGGTGCAAACATTCCCTCATAGATGGATTCATGTTGTGGTGGTAATTCTGGTATTGTATTGATACCTTTTGAAATTACAATTTATACTTTCATACTTAAACAAAAATTTCCATTTTTAATTATGTCATTATAATTAAAATTTTAGCAAAAAAAAAGAAATCGATTGTAATATAATTTGTCGATTAATTATTTGCATATAATAATTAAATTTTTTATATTAAATGAATTAATTACACAAAAACCTATAAAATTTCAAGGATAAAAAAAAAAAATAACCATAGGTGTCAATATTTGGCGGTGGTGGCAATGTAAATAATGATAGGTTGAATAACCTTAGCAGTGGTGCAATTGTTGTGTGATTTGGTACAATTGGTAATTGCGTTGTTGTAATTACTTCTATGGCTAAATTAGAAAAAGCATATAGTACCAATCATGTACTAAAACTTTGAAAAAAAGTACCAATTAGGATTTAATTTTATTACGGGGAAAAGAAAAACAATAGCGCACCAATCAATTAAACTTATTTCATGCGTTGTTAATTTTATATGTCCTCAAATACAATTTTAATTATTAGTCTTCTCAAAAACTTTTTTAAAACAAATTTGAACTATTTCATCACTCAGAATTAAATTGTGTATTTGGATCACTTAAAGAAATCATTACGATTTAAAAACATTTTGAGTTTAATGTTATTATTATTTTGATGAGTCATCATTTCGTTATTTCTTATTTAATCTAAAATATCTATGATTTCTATCAATCTTAATCTAATTTTATTTACCTTTGGTTATTAGGTTCATTGAAGGAATCAATCATTTTGTGAATAATAATTGAAATTTTATATTTTATGCTTTTCGTTAATTTTAATTAATTTTAAATTTTATAATCTCTAATTACTTATTTTTCTGTTTACTAAAATTTGATGATCAATAAATTGAATTTGAATTTGTCAATGGCTTAGAAAGTTTTTTGCATCATTTTAAATATCTATCAAATTTAATAATCTTTCATAAAAGCTATGAACAAAATTAATTACCAACAAAACAATGATTTTGATATTTTTAAATTCAAATTTTCGTTCTGATCACTTTTCTCTTTCACCTTTCAATTTTCATTATTTCTCTTTTAATCTAACGAAGGGATTGAAATAATATTATTATTTTCGTTCAATTTATTAATTTATACCTTTTTCATTCACCTTTTATTAATTGGATATTAATTTATTTGAATTAAACTTATTTCTTCTTTTAATTTCTTTCTTTCTTTCTCTTAAAAGAAAGGGAAACTTACATATTATTAAAATGTAATAAATTTACCTGAAGAATAGCTTGGCAGTGGTGGTAAGCCTAAAAGTTTCGTTCTTTTAGGAGTTGGTAAAAGCGTCGTATACGGTAAATTAAATATTTCAGTTATTGCCATGAAATTTTGTAGAATGGGCAACTGAAAAAAATGAGAAGAGAAAGCATTAATTAGGCTCTATTTGTTTTTTATTAATTTAGGATTTTAATTTTTAATTAAACAAATTTTACAAAAATATGTGGTAAAAGGAGCATAATTAAGTAAAATTTCAATGATATTCGTTAGAATCATCGAAAAATTTGCAATAATAAATTTATTATTTAAATTATACTTAATTATATTCATTAAATAGGAAGTTTGTAAATCAAATTATATACTAAAAATTAAAATTTATTAATTAAATTAAATGCTTACCTTTTGTGAATTGGTTAAAAGACATATTGAGGTGAATAACAATACAATTATGTGTAACCAATGAAGATTCATTACCTTAAAGAAAGGTAAACTAAGAATTTAAAATTAATTACAATTACAAAATAAGCGATATTTTAAAAACAAAAAAATGTTTAATGGAATGAAATAAACAACACAAATATATTAGAAAGACTAAAACAATTATTATTACTGTTTGATTGTTACTATTACAGTTCAGAAATATTATTATTCAAAGTTATAACAAAAAAATTAAAATTTTATTAATGAGTAAATGGGATGAAATATGAAGAGATGAATGTTAAAAAGACTAAGTTTATTGCCTTTAATTGTTTTAGATGAAAGCTAAAATAATGGGATTGATAGGGTAAATGAGTGAGTATTGACAGATGGACAAAGCAATCGAATAAAACTGGACTTGTCAGTATCTTTCACATTATGTTGATGATAATAAGAACAACAATTTTCTAAAACGACCAGTTTTTCAAGATAGAAAAAGGGATATGAGAGAGTGTGGGACAGGTGCAAGTGACAAGAAACGGAAGTTTTTTATCACTAGTGATAATGTTTCCATATATAGTCATACAACAAAAAGAGTAGATAAATAAACAAATTTAAAGTAAATAAAAGTAAATAAAGAAATAAATAGTGAAATAAACAATAAAAGCAATAATTGTTTTGAATAGGTAAATAAATAAATAAGTGGGCACTAATTAGTACAAATTAATAAATGGACAAATTTAAGATAGTGAATTTATGGAATTAATAATAAGTAATAAAAATTTAAAGCAGTAAAATTGTGGAATTAATAATAATTTAAATAATTAACAGAATATATGGATATGTAAATAAACAAATAAATGAAGTAATTAAATAAGAAATTAATATAAATAAAATAAAAGGAAAAAACGAAGTGACCATCGGCGACAGAATAATTGAAAATTTCTTCCTTCTTTTTGATTTTACCATCTTTTATGGCTGATTGATAAAACAAAATCGCTTCAGTAATAAATGAATGGCAGTGGATGTAAATATATTTGCGCCAATTTGTTTATATATTGTTTACATTCTTATATATACACGTATTTAAATTTATTTAGGTTTATTTAAGTATATTTATTTAGGTATACGTGTATATGTAATATATAAATGTTTATTGGAATGGATAAATTTAAGTGTTATAATAAATATTGTAAATGTGCAACAAATTTAATAGGGAAATGGAAAGAAGTGGAAGAATAATAAGAAGACGATGTGAAATTAGCAAATATCATAATTCATCCTAAATATCTTTAACCGGTTTTCATTTCTTATTTTTACCTTTTTTTTCCTATAACCAAAAAATGAATAATAAAATGAAGCAAAAGAATTAATTGATTTAGAGTTGGTATTGATAATTTAAAAATTTTGCCTCATTTTAAATAACCGGAATTCAACATTTCATCGATTGTTATTTATTATCCGTTTAATTTCAACAATTTATCGTTTCCCTTTTTCCGGCAAATCAAAACAATAATTTTATTTCAGCAAAAAATAAGATGAAAATAAATAATTATAAATAAGATTTTTTTGAACCTCAAACAAAGGAATTAATAAAATTAAAAGATTTATTTGAGTAATTAGGGTAATTAAACTATTCAGGCCAAATTTCTCTTTTTAATTTGCAACAGTCTTTTTAAGAATTAATTGCCAAAATTGTTTACGAATTTATTTTATTTTATATACGAAAAATTTATGGGAAAAAATTCCGAATATCTGGAAATAAGCACTTTTTTCAATAAGAGATGATAATAAATAATGATCATAATATTAAATGGAAATTGATTACTTTAATCATAAATAATGATAATGTTAATTATATAATGATGTTAAATTACTATACGTTAATGTTTTTAATGAATTGAAAATGATACATTAAGTCAAAGTAAAATCCTTTGCAAATTTAAATTAATTAAAAAATGAAAAAAAATCATTTGCAACATAAAATTATTCGCTTTCATATGAAAATTAAAATTAAATTAATACAATCTTATTGTTACCTTTAATTATTTAATTATATTATTTTCTTTGCTCAAAAAAAACCAAATAATAACAAATAAATTTTCGATTAATTTTTCTTTTGTTTTTGGAATTTTTTGATTGTAAATAATAATGATAAATAGTTATTTTAAGTGTTCATCAAACTAACAGATATATCACAAAAAGATATATTTAAATCTTCCTTTCATTAATACAGGTAAACAAATAAGCAGCATTTCTAACTTATAATTAATTAATTGTAATTAATATTGCGAAATAAGAAAGTAAACTAATTAATAAATACCTATTCGTATGAATTATAATACGATAATTTGGACATCCAATGAAAAAGTTATTATCACAAAAAAAATAAAGTGAAGATAAAATAATTAATTTGAAGGAAATATCGGAGTATTTCAAAAAAAAAAGGAAATTTGGGAAGACAAAATGTTTGTTTCAGTAATTTAATGAAAATTGGAATGGAAAGAGATATAACCTAAATTTCTTATCACAAATGAAAGAAAGAAAATAAGCGATGAGATGAAAGATTCTTGCAATAATGAAAATTAGAAATTATCGTATGCTTTAACCGGAATGTCATTTTTCCTTTTATAATTCCTTTTTTTTTCTCTTCAATTCCGTTTTTTGGTATTACAGGTTTTTTTTGTCGGATCATTTTTCTTTCTTTTAATTGGTAATATCAGGAATAATTATTAGTCTTTCTATCCTGGAATGATAAATCAAACAACCGATATATAAATTTTTCCGTTTTATTAATTAATTTATTAAAGCAAAATTTAAAATTTTTAGTATTATAAGAAAAAAAAAACGGAATACGGAAATATTTTCTTCTTTTTGTCGCATTATTTTATGCATATAAATAGCATAATTATGTCAAAATGAATTTTAGAATAAAATAATGTCAGAAGTTTTTAGAATAGTTCGAAAATTATAAGCAGGAAATTCAACTTAATTAATTAGAGGAAGATAGATATAATTAAAATTTTAGTGTTTTTGTTTTTCAATTTAACAATATATCAAATTTTTTGCAATGAAAAAAAACAATCGATTACAATTATGATAAGGAAAAGTAGGAAAAAATGATAACAATCAAATAAATTTTGAAAATTTCAACTATTGTTTAAAAAATGTCCTAAAACTTAAATTTCATTCATTTAAAACCGGTAAAAAATTGGTTCATTATCCGGTTGGTTAGTATGACAAGTGATCTGTGATTGCGATCTGTTTAATTCAAATGATTAATATGAATGGATGGATAATTAATTGTTGTTTTATTTTGAATATTCATCCCATTCTTTCTACGCCATCTTTTCTTTATTTTCTTCCTTCTTTTCATTCATTCCCTCTATCATTTCATTGATAAGTGATATCATCACTATGCTTACTGATGAATCATCCTCAATCAATGCATTATCAGTTAAAAGCTATCATGTAGTATTGCTTTTTTTCAGTTTTAATATTGCTTTGTGTTTATGCATTATGTATATATACGTTATCATTTATTATTATTCATCATTATTTATGTTTTTATTTATTATTATTTACTTATTATTTTTATTTACTATTATTTTTCGTTATTTCGATTCATCGTTATTTATTATTATTTGTTTATTATTATTTATTTTTCATTATTTATTATTAATTATTTATTGGTCGTTCCAATTATCAATAATTATTGATTGTTATTATTACCATTTCTGATTAAATTTCTATAGCAATATTTGTTTATTTATCATGATTACTTATCAGCATATGTGTGACATTTTGATAGATAATACTATTCTTTCATTAATAATTAATAACATCAAATGAATTATGATTAAAAAACAGATAATAATTAAAACAAAGGAAAAAAAACGAAAAAATTCGTTGGCAATTAATTTAAGTATCAAATTTTAATGCATTCTGACAAAAAAGATAGATGATAAGAAAAATAATGGAAAAAATTTTTTTAAAACAGTTTTGGTATAAAATTCAAAACGCATTTTAACAAAAATAAAGAAGAAAGAAGCAAAAAATTTCTTATTGACAGTTATTTGATACATTAAATTCTAAATTACTTAAAATTAGCTAATTAAAAAGTTATACGGTAATCTTTTACGATTCTATTCACGTTTAACCTCTCGTGATTCTATTGATGAAAAGTTGATATTCATATTTTCATTTTACCTTTATCTATCCGCAATGGGTTTTAGGGCGAAGATCGGGCCGAATGTTACGCTAATTAATTTACTTTAATGTTTGTAAGCATTTTACGTTAGCATTTGTCTTGCCATTTTACAAATAACAAATTGAGTAATACATATAATAGAAAGGTTATAAATAGAATTTTATTTATTCACATTGTTATAATTTCATAAATTATATAACATTAATTATTATTCATAAATGTATGAGTGAGAAATGGTAGAATGAAAAGTTTAAATAACAAATTAAATGAATAAAATGAAAAGTTAAAAAAGGAAATGAAATTTAGGAAAAATAAAATTGATTGATAAATAAAAATTAAAATAGAAAATAATAAATGAAATAAAAGTTTAAATATTTTTATTCCACCAAAAAGTCGAAAATGAAATGAACAAAATGTCATTTATTCATTGAATGATGAAATATGAGTGATGCTTAGTGACAGCTAACAACATTGACAAAGGATAATATTATGTCAAGCAAATGACAGTTGTTCCATAAAATACATGAAAAAAATAAATGCAACAACGAAGTAATTCAATTTTAAGATAAAATTTTAAAACGAAAAAAATATGCTTATTACAAGAGAGCTTTACAATGCTTATAAATTCATAAATTGTAAAGTTGCAATCATTCCTCTCATCTTTTTTGATTTTATTTTATTCTTTTGTTTTGTAATCTTTTACCTGTCATTCTTAATACTAGACTAATTAAATGTACTCTATGCTAATTAAATATACTATATACCAATTAAATATACTCTATACCAATTAAATGTACTCTATATCAATTAAATGTTGTTGGAAGACATAGTGGAATGGTAATAA